AACTTTAAATCTCTATATTACCTCATTGTGGCACTGGGGTGTAGTTCATTGATGTATATGGTGAGGACTTCTTCCCAGCTGTAACTTACTTCCAGAATATGTTAACCGAAGGTCTATTCCCACAAGAAGTGCAGTGGAGACAATCCTTCCAAAGTAGGCCAAGGCATCTCCAAGAATATCATGAGGTCAATTCCCAATGTGTGATGGGAGATTCCCTGATAGTTTGAATAGGAATCTCTTCCAATTTTAAATGTTGATGTGTATTATCACAAGGAATGTGCTGGAGAACTACTGCCAGAAACATACTTGGAGATCTTTCCCATTATAAGCTTCTTAGATGCATTCCCGAATTCATTGTACAGGTGGATTTACCTCCTGTCTGGGATTGTAAATCCTCTGAAATGATTTTCGAGGGCACCCTGCCCTTAATTCATATGCTTTGAGGGTCAGAGAGGTTGAGGTGGGAATTAATTGAATGGGTACATTTGTGCTGGGAATTAGTGCTGCCAGTCTTTTCTGGACCTGAGCTGCATTCACCCAATAACTATTCCTGGATTGTATTCCCTAATATGTGGGGTGTTCCATAATTTCTCAGATGGGGAATTTCCCACAATACCTAATACTGCTATGTATTCCCCCACTGTCTGTCTGTAAGAGGAATTCTGTCATCTTTGACAGTGGGGACCTATCCCAATATCTGGATCTGGAATCTATTCCACCAGTGACAGTAACACAGAGAAGGAATTCCCATTTTATTGAATTGGCAATCTTCTCTACTCCTGGAGAGTGTATGTCCATTAGCTTATCCTGGATTGTATTTCCCCAGTGATCCTTTTCAGCAAATTCTATTCTATATGGAAGTTGAAATCTCGCCCCATATTTGATACTGGCTCATCTTCCCACACGCAATGAACCTGGTAATTATTATCAACATCTGGAATCTATTCACCAAATGATGGACATGGAGAGCCATGGGTTTAGTACTGAATCACACTCAATGATCATGTAATGATTTCTCTTCATAACACTGGGATGATCCTCTTGTGTGTGTAATATGAAATCTTACTCAATTCCCAATATGCGGCCTTTGGCATAGTCACTGGATTGGTGAAACGTCCCCAAACATGGAAATTTCGTTCCACATTCCAGACCAATATCTGTTCCTGAATTGAATCTGCTTTGAGAGAATTCACAGGGAATTTGAAGAATCTCATCCAAAAAATGATTTTTGTGTTTGTTCTTTTGTTATACATCCAAATGAATGTGTTCGCAGACGAAGTCACTCATACTTGAGCCAAGTGAATTTGAGGGTGGGTTGGAAGTTGTTAGTGTGGGTGGAAGACCCCTTCGCTAACAACTTCCACCCCGCCCTCAAATTCACTTGGTCTATCTCAGACCCCTCCCTCCCTTTTCTTGACCTCTCCATTTCCATTTCTGGTGACAGCTTACGGACCGACATTTACCATAAACTCACAGACTCCCATCGCTCTTGAGACTACACTGCCTTCCACCCTGTATCCTGCAAAAACTCCACCCCGTTTTCCTAATTCATCCTTCTCCGTTGCATCTGGTCTAACGAGGAGAAGTTCCACTCCCAAGCATCCCAATGTCTGCCTTTTTCAAATAATGCTTTTCGCACCACCACCCCCCCACCCCTGTCATCCAGACAGCCCTCCACCGCACCTCCTCCATTCCCCGCTCCACAGCTCTTAACCACCACCCACCTCCAAACATAATAAAGATAGAGTCCCCCTTGTCCTCACTTTCCAACCCACCAGCCTCCGCATTCAACATATCATCCTCAAACACCTCCACCAACTCCAATTAGAGCCCACCACCTGGAACATCTTCCACTCCCACCACTCTCCCTTCCTTCAGCAAGGACCATTCCCTTCGCCACTCCTTAGTTCGTGCCACACTCCCCACCAACCACTCCAACCCGCCCGGTACCTTCCCCTGTAACCATAAAAGATGCAACCCTGCCCATACACCACCTCCCTCACCTCCATTCAGGGACCTAAACAGCCCTTCCAAGTGAGTCAGAGCTTCGCCTGCATCTCCTCCAGTGCTCCGGATGTGGTCTTCTCTACGTCGGTGAGACGAAACGTAGACGAGGTGACCATTTTGCTGAGCATCTCCACCTGGCCCATAATGGCCAACCTAACCTCCCGGTCACTGTGCATTTCAATTCCCCGTCCCACTCCTCCTCCAGCATGTCTGTCCTTTGCCTCCTCCATTGTTGCAGTGACTCAGAATGCAAATTTGAAGAACAACACCTTATCTTCTGCCTGGCACCCTAGAGCCCAGATGACTCAACATTGATTTCAAATAACCTTGCCACCCATCCGCCACCTCCCGTCCCAGCCCCACCTCCTTCCTTCCATTCCACCTTCTGACCATCCCTTCCAGCCATCAACCGGATTCATCCCTCCCATCAACCAACCAGTCGTACCTACTACCAGTGCCTCCAACCCTTCCACCTCCCCCCCCCCCCCCCCGGCTTTATCTGAAGCTCCCCCTACGCCTACATCAAGTTCTGAAGAAGGGTAATACCTGAAACATCGACTGCTCCTTTTCTCCAGATGCTGCCTGGCCTGCTGTGTTCTTCCAGGCTCCAGTTTGTCTACCATAGGCCATACTTAATTATTGGTCAGGCCCTGGGGAGTGTTGTCGAATTTAGAGACCTAGGAGTTCAGGTACACAGTTCTTTGAAAGTTCCTTGGCATGACAGGTAGACAGGGTGATGAAGGTGTTTAGCATGCTTGCCTTCATTGGTCAGAGCATTGAGTATAGGAGCGGGGACATCAACAGGACATTGGTGAGGCCACTTTTGGAGTACTATGTACAGTTATGGTCATCCAACTATAGGAAGGGTATTATTAAATTGGAGAGGGTGCAGATGTTAAGGATGTTACCAGGACTGCAGGGTTCGAGTTACAAGGAGAGGCTGATAGACTAGTCTCCTTATCTCAAGAGAGATATACCTGCCAGAGAAGTGTTGCAACAGAAGTTCAACAGAGTAATCCCTGTGATGGTGGGATTGTTTTAATTTGCCAGATTGAGAAAATGGGACAGTACTCTCAAGAGCTTTGATGAATGACGGATGAACTTACTAAAAGTTACAAAATTCTTAAAACGCATGTCAGGGATAATGTTCTTCTGACAGGTGAGTCTAGAATCAGGGACGTAATCACAGCATAGGGGGTAGACTATTTAAAATTGTGATCAGCTGGAATTTCTTCATGCATAGGTTAGTGAATCTTTGGAATTCTTTAACCAAAGAACTATGGAAGCTCATTCTTTGAATTTGTTCAAAGCAAAAATTTATAGATTTTTGGAGACTCATGACATTGAGGGATATGGAGTTAGTGCATGGAAGTGCCACAGTATTAAATGATGAACCTTTATTTAGTTGAATGATTAACATGATTGACAGGCTGAATGATCTGTTACTGTTGCAAAGTTCCTGTCTCTTGTGGTGTGCTTCCCCAGTAGCTGGCCCTTGGTAAAAGCCCTGTTCTTTATACTGGTGGAATTCTCTCACCCCAGGGACCAAGAACCTAATACGTCATTCTGAATATGCTCCCACACTTTCTACTGATTTGATTCCATTCATACCTAGGATTGAAGACTTCCCCTGGTATTTGGTGCTGGATATCTGGTTTCCCGATCACTGTTCTCATAGGTGCTTTCCCTCCGACAACAGGACTGTGAATATTCCTCAAATCTGATCCAGAGGTGTATTCCAGCAATGACCATACTGAGGATAAAGTAGTCACTCAAAAATGGTGTTGAGAAGCTTAACAGAGATTTGTTTCTGTTCCTTATCCTGCTGAGGTCTGGTCCTGAATTTGTCTTCCCCAAGATTATATTTTTCATGGTTCTCATCCAACTCTTAATTCCAGCATCTGCCATGATAGGGTTCGAACCCATAAGACCAGAACATTTGCTGGGTCTAGAATCCTTACAGTGCAGAAGCAGGCCATTTGGCCCATCAAGTCCACCCTGACCTTCTAAACACGATCCCACCCAGACCCACCCCACTATCTTAACCCTATAAACCTGCATTTCCCATGGCTAACACATCCAGCCGGCACATCTCTGGACACGATGGACAATTTAGCATGGCCAACCCACCTAACATGGAGTGTGTGTGAGGCAACACTGCTAAGCACTGGATTAATAGTCTAGCGATAATGCCACTGGGGCATCAACTTCCCTCCTCATCCACCATCTTCAACTTTCACTCCCTTAATAACCAACACACAGTGGTGGCAGTGTGTATCATCTACAAGAAGCACATCAGCATCATACCAAAGCTCCTTTGACAGTCCCTTGCAAACTGGAAATATCTACCACTGACAGGGACAAAGACAGCAGACGCATGGGAGCACAATCACCTGCAATTTAGCGTCCAAGCTGCACACCATCCTGACTTGGAACCATTTCACCATTCCTTCTCTGTCACTGTGTCCAAATCCTGGAACCCATTTATGATCAGCCTCGATAGTTAAATAATTGCAGTGGTTCAAGAAGAAAGCTCATCAGCACCTTCTCCCAGGCAATTAGAGTTAGGCAAAAATCACTGACCTAGTCAGCAACACCCACACCCCATTAACAAATGAATAAAGAATTCACAAAATATCTATTTCTGGGATACAACATTCCTCTGGTTAGAAAGCTGGGGCATTCCTATAACTTTTCCGACAAGGAATTCTCCCACACAATATTTCATCCTAGTCGTGTTACGTTGTTTACTCCACTAGACAGTGGACTGTGTCTCCCAATAACTTTGTATTTACTCATATACAGGACTGTGGATCTCCTCCAAAATCAAGAACTTGGGTATATTTGCCTAGTAACTTGAGTCATTCTCCTTCATCTATCCAAGTCATCAGATCAGCACTTATTTCATTTCATTTTTCGTTTTTACTGATTTAATTTCACATGAAAACTTTTACATCAGAAAAACCTTTTTTTTTAAAAAAAGCTGCAGGCAATAATCTGAATAACATTTATTTGTTATGCACAAACAAATAACAGATGAACATTAAATTGTTTCCAAAATTTTAATCCTTCTGTCACCCAACTCTGTTGGTTCTGTTTCTCTGTTCCATTATCCAAGGTCAGAAATCCAACAGGTGATAGTCCAACAGGTTTATTTGAAAACACAAGCTTTCTGACTCTCACTCCTTCTTCAGGTGTTAGTGAGAGATGTAGCATCAGGCACAAAATTTATCAGTAAAAAATCAAAGGGTGACACCACTGATGAGGATGGATTAAACAAACCTACGATGCTGTTGGATCTTTAATCAGTTTCTGCACGTTTTAAAACACAAGATTCTGATATCTTGGCACCAATAACACTCAATGACCAGCAAACAATCAGGTTTATTGTGCAGCTGTCTGAGATTATTCCAGAAATCTGGATGATATCCTTTAGAACTCCAAAATGTCTCTTTTTGATTCTATATAATATTTTAGTTGGCCTAATATAATACAGGCAGCACGAAGATATCTTGGAATATCAGTTGTCGAATAGAACATCTGCTCAATAAGACAACGATTTGTGAGTGGTGATGTGAAGGATGAAATGAGTCTTAAAGCCTACAATTCGTGGATCATTGTGATGTGGTTAAGCATCTAGCACTGTTGTCTCTAGGTCAGAGGATTGTGGATTCAGGTTTCACCACTCATTCTTGAGGTCTTCAGCTAGGTTGCCACTCCAATGAAGGACTGAGAAAGTGCTGCAAGTGTGGAAGGAGAGACCTCCTGATGAAATAGTAAACCATGGCCCTCAGGTTAATGTACACGATCTCATGGACATATTGAAAGAGCCGGGTGTTCTCTTCAGTGTCTCAGCCAGTCAACATTTAACTCTCAACCAACAACAAAAAGTAGATGATCTGATCATTATCAAGTTATTATTGTAGGAACTTACAGTGTGCAATTTAAAAACTGAGAAATCTGGAGAGATCAAAGCCATCAACCACACATGACACAATGATAATTAAAGTGTGGACTAATCATAACAATTGGTCACATCAATGAATCTACAATAAACCAAAACGTATGTTGAGGAAATCACAACATTGTCAAAGGGGCTTTGGAAAGTAAAGATCCAAAATTCCTTTCCCTCAGAACATTCTGCATTCACCACAGTTCATGTCCCGAATTATTCATTTATATTCTCCCCAACCACAAACAATGTTCACTCAAAACTAACACTGAAATTTTTCACGTCAGGTTTATTGAAATTTGATCAGTACATTGACGTACAATTGACATTCTGTGGGATTTCACACAGGTTTCAAACATGATCAAGCAAAGCACAAAAAATATGTTTCAGAAGGACCTGAGGATCTCAGGTAGATCTGCAGAAAACAATGTTGTCTGATTTGGAGATTTTTTTTTCTCTCAAGTACTGAACAATGTTGAATTTTGTTCATGTTAGAAGTGCATTGCTACCAGGAGAGAGGTTTCAAAGTGCTCACAACAGTTTTCCGGTTGTGTTAAACTATCCATTTACAGGGATTATATAAATGGGAGATTGTTTAAAGCAGTAGAGTTTATGAACAGGAGTTAAAGCTTTCAGTTAGAACAAGTGAGACATTAACCAGGTTGGGTTTGCTGTGAGATTTATAAATGCTTCTGAACACATTTGTTGTGACTGACTCATGTCCCACCATGTACGTGGTGCCTCTGTTCCACTCCTCTGCAGAGACCGTCAAGCGACTGCCTGAGTTCCAGCCTCCTCTGCCATCCTTAGTCACTGGCTGATGAATGAACCCTGTCTTCAAAAAGGGTATCATTGGCCATTCAAGCCAGGTCAATATCTGCAGGAGAGAATCCAGTGACCAGGCAAACCAGGGTCGCAGTATGAGCAGTCTCCATCTCATCCAGCGAAGGGGGCAGGAGGAAGACTTGAGGGTAAGTCTTAACCTCAACTGCAAACAGACAAAACAGAGGTTAGACTTCATCTTTCACTCAACATGTATTTACCTGACACATTTGTCTCTTGCACAAAACTAAGCAACTTCTGCATCCCCAGGAACTTCTCCGAGATCAGAAACTAAAAGCATTTCTTTTCATGTTGATTTTTTGGGAACGTAGTGCAAGGATCAAATCTTCAGTCTTGCTGATTCTCTCACCATGGGTGGGGATCCCCTTTTCATAAAGAGGGTCCAAATCATGAGTGATTTGAATGGGCTAAGTAAGGAAAATCGTTTTCCAGTGACAGGCGAGTCAGAACAAACATTTCAGATGGACTGGAAATGAACCCGTGGATTGATAATTGAATTTAATTTGCTCCCCTATTTATGATGACTTGCAATGCCCAGCATGAAAAAGGGTGGAAGCAGATTTAATATTAACTTTCACCAGAGAATTGGACATAAAATTGGAAAGTAGAGACAATTGTATGGTTGCCGAGATGGAGCAGATCACACGTGGGATCATTTCAATAGCTATTTCAGAGAGCTGGCAGTGACATGATAGACTAAATGGCATCTTTTAAAATGGCACAGTTTTCTGAGAAACACCAGAGAACCACTTCCTGATGTCAACAGGTAGGCTTCATGCATTATTCTGATCTGGTGCTCTCTGCTCTTTCTCCTTTTCCTCTCCATGTATTTGCTCATATTCAGCCTACACCTGAAACTGATGGAATGTTAAACGCTGGAAAACTGCTAATCCCTCTCTGACTGTCCTATCACCTTGACCCCATCCCCTTGGAACCAGTGTGATTCACATCAAGGCCGCTGAGTTGATTTGAGGCTTTATCTGGTCAATTTCTTGACTGGGATCACACGCATCTCTGGTCTTGTAACATAGTCTGACAGCCTGTGATAGGCTGCTTAGCACTCTGGCAATAAATCACTTCAGTTGCTAAGATCAGACACACATTTCCATCTACACGTACCTTGGGCTTTCCTGATGAACCTCTTCTCTGGCGTTGGCAAATTTTCATCCTCCACCAAACACATATACTCTACCCCACTCTCCCACTCTGCAGCAGGGACTGTCAGTCTACTGAAGATGATCTCTTTATGTCCACTCTTCTTGGGACCCTGGGTCTTCACTCCATCTTGTCTCATGATTCCATCCACTTTCCAGGTTACCCTGACTCCCTCTGAATCACGGTGAAGTACCTCACACAGAATGATTGCTGTTCTGTTCCTCCAGATCTCTTCAAATGGAGGCTTGCTTAGGGTGACCAAGATTCCAATGTCCAAGCATTCATCTGGGAGGAGAATGACAATTATTAGTCCATAACTCCTCAGTGGGATGTGGGTATCACTTGCACGGTTGACATCACTAGGTTCACAACTAATAGCCCGCTAGGCTCTCTCAGAGGCAGTAATGAGTCTTTGATATTGTCGTGTGCCTGGAAGTGACAAAACTCCCTTTCGTGCTACAGTTTGGTGGTCATTTGTGCACAGCATGTACATCCTGTTCTGTACTTGCATGTCTGAGTCATGGGAGAAGTGGATGGTTCACCAAACTCTTCACACATTTTCCCTGTTGCTCCTGATTTCCAATAGATCATTGTCATTTCAGATATGCCACAGTTCAGCACATGGTCTCATCACGGTTCAGGCACATTGCACCCAAAACTCTCAACTCTTCTCCGTGTGTATTCCTGTCTAACTCTAGGATGCAAAGATAACTATTACTGCATCAGGATGACATCCTTAATAACATCCTCTTAAAAACTTACCTGGAGAGAATGGAGGAGCTGACTCCCAGGCCAGAGGACATCACTGATGAATCCTGGAGGCATGTCAGAGAGCAGGCTGTGTGGGAGATCAGACTGAGACCAGGCCAGCACAGGAGGAGAGTCCTAGAGGCCTGGTCTGGAGGCCGGCACGGGAGTTGCATTCTGGGGGCAGTTCCGGACCAGAGGCCAGTGCAGGGAGGCTAGTCCCAGGGGCAAGTCCTGGACTGGAGGCCACCACTGGGAGGCAAGGCCTTTGCAGACTGAACCACAGGCTCAGATTTCAAGTCTCGTGGTCTGGAGACTTGCCTGGTGCAGTCTGGAGACCAGCTGCTGGCATGAACTTGGTGAAAAGGACTGTCATTTGAGTGCTTTTTAAAAACCTTTTGCTTCATATGCTGGACTTCTTGAGTAATGCAAGTTCTTTTTGAAAACTTTTTATTCCTGTGCTGGACTTTATTTTTTATTCTTTCAATTCTATAACAGATACTGAAGTATCTGTACCTAACCATCCTGTACCTAAGATGGTGCCATAAACAGCGACTTTGCAAAATTTTCACTTTTCTTTATACCTGTTTCTCAAAGAATCATCATCACTTCAGACATCCTGCAGCAACCTGTGTGTTCTGTACATTCACTGTGCAAACCACAACTGTGATGTCTGCTTTGATCCACACTGATTATTCTCTCTCTATATCACATTGAGTTAATACTCGGAGAGAAACGATTCCTGTATCTGTGTCCGAATCAAAACCATTTATCAACACTAGGTACCAACTCCTGTCACTGCATTTGAGCTGATGTTCAGGACAGTGATAGGATCACATGTGTTATTAACTTCAAACATTCTGTTTCTCTCATCTGTCTTTCAGACAAGATGTTGAGCAATGTTTTTTTCCAGATTAGCATTGATCATTATATTAGTGACCAATTCTTAATGTTTGCTCCCACACAATCAAACCACACAGGGCCAGAAGTATTCCCTTATCATTGGAAAATGGTAAAATCACAGGGTAAGGGACATTTCATTCCATTTACCTTCATGGAGAAATTGAAAAAAAGCTTTGTCAATTTGAACTCCTTGTCAACAGAGTACATTTCATTGACTGTTGTCAGTATCCAGGACTGAAGGAAGCTTCTTTCATTTTACTGTCCTGTGTTTACATCCACAATGTACAAGATTGTACAGGGCACCTCATATCCTGAATTATCAACTTGCCTTGGGACCAACATCATTGAAGAAAGAGGCCAAGCTCCTACTTCATTGAATCAAGGTGACGGCCCCTCTGAATGACAAATAATCTTCAAATTCTTGTCAACCTGAGTCAGAGCCAAGAGACAAGGATTAAGTAGTGGGATTGGCACCTTGCAAGCTAACCTGATACAGGTCACCAAAAAGTGACCACTTCAATTAGGAGTAGATTGGCTGGGAAACACGAACTGGGGCTGTCACTTCTCAGTGTTTACACTTACATTCTGACAGACACCATGGGCTGGATTTGAACCTGCCAAATGACTTGTAATAAAATTCAATGGTCAATTCCATTCACAATGAATTCACAACTTTATTTGACACTTTTGTTGGTCACAGTTATATTGGTGCTTCTCACCATTTCTGAGGGTCACACTGAGGTTAGTATGATAGAGCAGCTCCAGTGCAAATGTGCAAGGAGGACAAGTACCAGGAGGATTTCCACTTGGACATGAAAACTTTTCACCTGGAGTTGGAAGAGTTACAAATTTAAATGTTATACATGTTTACCTCTCCTCCCCTGTGCTGGGAAAGTGGGAACACCACCACCACAGCCTTAAAACTCTGCTCCACTCTGCTTATATAGAATTATAAATGAACCAGATCATGTTGATGATGAAAAGTTGCTTCACTTTGTCCAGAATGGTAAAATTAGAGAAAAACGACTCAGCAGGAGTGCCATTTCAAAACAAAATGTTCAGCCACCAATTGGTCAATCTCTGGATCAGCCTCTCTCCAGAGATGGTGAAGCAGATCGAGGCAATTCTTTCAAATGCCAAGTTATAAACAATCCTTCCAAAAGACCACACTTTGGAGTCATTGGAAAAGGCAAGATAAGGAGGCAATTTGAACTGTGAATACTATCAGTTGGGCTATTTCAGAAGGGCCATTTCATACCCAACCTCCTTTCTTTTCTATTGGATGCACAGAGAGTCAAACTGAACGAGGGAAACACTGCTGGCTGTGGAAACACTGCTGGCTGTTTCCCTGTCCAATGTATTGGAATAAGACACTGTCTTTTCAATGTTGGTTCCATATCAAAACACAAAATAATAAACGTCACACGCTTCCCAACAGGTTCAATATTAGGATATCTTTATCCTGCTCAGATCCACTTACCCTCTTGGTATTTCATGCTGATCATGTTCCTGAAATTGGAAGGTGGGTGGGAGACCTCACAAATGTATTTATCGTCTTCCTTCCAATTCATCATGGGTATAGTCAGGTATGAGATTGTTTCAAAGGTATCATCAGTTCTCCGTTTGAAAGACAGAACACCCGCTTGGTCCACTTGGTCTTTCTTCCAGGAAATCTTTATACTATTAGGAGCAAATTTAGATATAACACAGCCCAGGACAGCATTCTGACTGGAGATAAAATCCACAGATGGGACAAGGGCGGTGATGTTCGGCTCTTGAACTGTAACACATTGCAATGTTGCAGATCATACAACTGTTTTGCCACAGGAAAGACGTCCTCTATTCCTTCTAGATTTAGAGAAAGGTTAACGGTGTCAACCCCCTTCGCTGTTAATTTGACTGGGTTTCCTCTTATCTTCTCCTGAAATATTTAGTTACCTGACAGTGTTTGGTGCTGATCAATGGGCCAAAGCTTTTAATATTTTACTTTCTGAGCCAACTGCCAGAGAATTTCCTGTTAGTACTTGAAAATCCAACAGTGCCAATAACCGGTTTGAGATTAGCACCTATATGGCAGCACTTTATAAAACTGTTGTTGACCCTTTATGGGTCAGATAGGATTTACAATCCTCCACAACAATTGAGAGAATATTAGCCATTACCCCCTCCATTTGACCATTTCAATCATGTAGAAATTAGTCTGAGAGGGGCAGGGTGGAGCTCTATGCAGACATCACTGAAATAGCAGCCATCCATTTTCAATTTCCATTGACTTTAGTGATGGAATGAAAAGGTTGTCAGAAATTAAATTCTCCAATTCTCTAAGGAACACAGGAACTGAGAAAACTGGAATTGCAAAAGAAAAATGTTTGTAGGTGGCAGGATAAGTTCCTACGTCTGCTTCTAAAATACCATAATGGATCCTGAACTTTATAAACAGAGTTGTCGGGCACAAAAGCAAGGAATTTATTCCTAAACCTTTGTAAACCACTGCTAAGGCCTTAAATCGAGGTATTGTCTCCTATTCTAGCTACCTCTCTTCAGGAGGGATGGAAACAGTGCAGTGGGCATTTAGTGGAATGTTCCAGGTATGGAGTACTTCAGTTATTTTGTACAGATTGGAGATAACAGGCTCGTTCTCCTTGCGTTGAACAGAGAAGGTTCGGGGGAAATTAAATGGGTGTGCTCAAAATTTGTGAGTTTTGATGGAGTAGATGGGCAATTGTTCCCCACCCCAGAATGACAGAGGATGGAGATTTAAAAAGGAGAGGCAAAAGGGAAGCAACGGTGTAGAAGAGGAGGGTTTATTTTTAATAAAAACACTGGAAATGTTTATGTTTGAAAATGCACAACTTGAAAGGGAATGGAAGCAGATTCAGTGGCACTTTTCAAAAACAGAATTTAAATAACTGCTTGAATAGCTAAACCTTTGAGGAAAGAACAGGAAGACTGGGACTAATTTGGTACCTCTTTCAAAAACCAGACAGGCATGATGGGCCAAATGGCCTCTTTCAGCCCCATGTGAATCTATGAAAACAATACCTGATTAGGAGGAGGCCTCTAAAATTTGGCACAAAATGGACAGTATGGCACGGTGTACACTTCGCCTGATATTGGGTGCGTGGTATCACAGGTAACAGCAATGCATCCTGCCATTGTCCTGTGTTGTAGATTCCTCTTTGTATTTTTATCTTATTAATGCCAGCACTGCTGGGATAAAATCCATAGGCACAACAATTTCTGGGGGTTCTATTGTGCAATCACCTCCTCTATCAGTTACTGAAGGTTCCTTTTCCAAATCCATCTTGTGACACTAAATGTCAAATAATGACATGTACTAACTTTTAGGTGTTTCAAACTGACGTTCCACCATGTTGTTTGAGTTGTAGCCCGCCTGGCAGTGGTAGAATCTATTGGTTTTCCAATCTGCTGCAGAGACTTTGAGCACACTGCTCATTGTGTACTTCTTATCATTCCCCTGGACTGCAGGATACTTGCTGATTCCAGTGGTAATGACCCCACTGTCACTGGACCATGTCTGATGGATACTCCTTGGATGAAAGTCCTTGACCAGACAGAGGAGCCTGATCTCATCTTGGTTTGAGTTCATCTCACGTGAAGGATTAGAGATGTAGACTAATGGTGCAGACTGGGCAACTGAAACATAAATATTTGCAAACTGATTACAGCAATACTAAATGCATTTCAGTCAGGCAGAGCTCAAGAGATTTTTTGATGTATAAAACCAACTGTTCCAAAAAGAATTAAAAACAACAGGGAAGAAATGAAGAGTAATTGAAGGACAGCATTGGGTAATTAGAATCTGCATGACAGGGATACAAGTCCAATGGAATGGGTGGAATCTAAGTTTTACACTCATCCAAAAGTTATTTTCAAAGTTATTCTGCATCAATCAACTCTGATGTCAAGTGGGGTGTGAAACCAGCTTTGCCCCGAGTCCAGTCAGTTTCCCAATGGCAGCATAAACAAAAATGGTTCAGTGGAAAGTCAAAAATGTGCAACAGTCCTATACAGCAGGAAGGCTAGCTGGAAAAAACCCAGCAAATGTCAGGATAAAACAAGGCAAGTGAAGAAACCAATATGTCAAAATAAGACAATTAACAATAACACACAGGCATCAAGAGAAAGGAGCTAGATGCCAGAAGCTGTAAACAAAAAGGAACTGAGAATTTGCTGTCAAGTGAATAATGGAATAATCAAATATTTTGTTTATTATAAATAAATATGTTGTTGAAATCTTGTTTTCAAATAGAACATATGATTAAACAAAGCAGTCAATATTTACAGCTGAATTGTTCAACGTCCTTTTCGCGTTACCAATTCTGAAACTTTGCCAAGAAAGGTTACACTGGTCAGAAAGTGTATTTGATTTGCAGGGATAGAATTGAGTGCAGAAAAGAGAAATTATGTCTTTTTCTTAATGCATCAAAATTACTCAGACTAAATCTGACAATACCAAAGCTGTAAATTGTAAAGGTACTTCTGGCCACTGGTGAAACAGTTTCTGTAAAAACAGCCACAAACTAGTCCCTGCCAAAAGTAAGTTTCACAGGACAGAGCCATTAGATATGGTCCTGGATTGACAGTCTGAAAACACACGGCATCTATTGATGTGTTTGCAGGTTTAACTTGGTTGATGAAGTGGTACTCAGTTACTGGTCTTTCAAAATCTTGATATTTATCATTGACATGAAAAGCTTTGGAACATTGGACATCCTAGATCGTAATTAAAGACCAAGAACAATCAAGATGACCAGCTCCCATCCTAGAAAATATCAACAAGGTTTAAAGAAACCTGGTCCTCTCAAGCACACCACACTCACCACAGTTTGCATCTCAGATTACTCAGATTCTCTCCCAAGCTATTTTCCAAAAGAAACACCTGAAAGCTGCTAATTATAGAAGGAATTATCAGTGTGAATGAGAAAGAACAGCTACATTCAGGAGAGTTCCAGCCAGGAAAGTATTAATGAATGCCTACAGCTAACTGACCACTGCAGTGCAGCTCTGGGGCAGTGACGCATTGTGTGAAGTGTTGGACGGTCGCCCCACTGTCCTCTCCAATGAGTCACAAATGATTCCACAACACTAACTTGAATGAGGTGAAGGGAGTTCTTTCCAGTGTCCTGATCAATTTTCATGAAATATTGCAAACAGATTATCTGATCATTATCCAACTGCTGCTTGTGGGATCTTGCTGTGAACTGTTCAGCTGCAGTATTTCTCTACATTACACTAGTGACTGCACTTCCAATGCATTTCATTGGCTTTGAAGCCCTTTGGGATCTTCTGCAGTTGTGAAAAATAATTTTGTTGTTCATTTATGGGATTAGGACATCCCTGGCTAATGGTATCAGTTCATGTCTTTTTTGAGAAAATAGTTAAATGAAATCAATCAGCTGTAGGCATTAGAAATCAGCGTAAAAGCACTTGACAAAGTTTTAATTCTATTTCTCTCTGCACAGATGCTGATGGAACTGCTGAGCTTTTCCAATGTGGGTGACAGGATCATATCAGTCAACTTAATTTACAGGTGACAGTCTTTCACATCCTGAAAATTGTGGGCAGTAAGTATAGTTCATGATACATCAGTGGATCTGGTCAGTATCGGTCCATGCTGGTGTTTGTACTCCACTCGAGCCTCCTTTTATTCCATTCATTCCCGGGTTGAGAACTCGCTATGTGAGGCAGCATTTATTACCAATTCATAACTGCCCCGGAGGTGGTGATGGCAAGACGTTCTCTTGAACCCCTGCTGACTATTTCGTGTACAGACACTCATGTGTGTTAGGATGGGAGTTCCAGGATTTGAGGCCAGCGACAGTACATGTCCAACAATATAGTTCCGGGTCAAGATGGTGTGCAGGCTGCACGGGAACATGTAGGTGGAGATGTTCCAAAGCACATACTGCTCTTCTCCTTTTCAATGGTGGTCGTTGTGGGTTTGGAAGGTGCCTTAGTGAGTTCTTGCAGTGTATCGTGTGGATAGTACGCACTGCTGTCACTAAGCGTCAGTGGTGGAGGCAGATGTTGAAGGGGTTAGATGGGTCCTCATCTACACCATCATAATCATCCATTCCCTTCCCCCTCATAGATTTTAAAGGGAAGCTGGACAAGTCCATCTCTACTCTTCACTTCAACAGTTTCACATTCTCACCACTCTTTGGCTAAAGAAGTTCCAAAGACATTCTGTGGGCACTGTCTTGTATCAATCGACTCTTGTTATGCAGTTTAAGACAGAGATGAGGTGGATTTTTTCCACTCACAGGGGAATGAATCAGTGAAATGTTTTGCTACAAAGGGTTGTTGAGGCTGGGTCATTAAGTATATTCAAGACTGGGACAGATAGATATTTAATCAGGAACAGAATCAAGGATTATAGGGAAAAGGCAGGAAAGTGGAGTGGAGGATGATCAGATCAATCATGATCACATTGAATGGTACAGCAGACTCAATGGGCTGAATGGCCTACTTTGTCTGAGGTCTCCCCAACAAGATGAAACATTCTCTTTGTACTGCATTTAATCAAAACCTTTCAGAACTTTAACAATCTTAAAAATTAGGTCACCCCTCAGCTTTCTCTGTCCGAGAGAAGACATGCATGGCCTGTCAATCCTGTCATTGGAACAAGAGTGGGCCACTGAGCCTCTCAAGCCTGCCCCACCATCCTAGATAATGGCAGATCATCCCCTCAATTCCATTCTTCTGCTTTATCTCCATGTCCCTTAATGTCATCAGTCTCCAGAACAGCATTGATTTCTGTCTTGAACCTGACCAATGATTGTTCTTCCACAGCCCTATAGGTAGAGAATTTCAAAAGATTCACCACCCTCAGAAAGAAGAAATTCCTCCTCATCTCAACTGTAAATGACCTGTCTCTGATCATCAGATTATTCGTCCCCTGGTTCTAGATTCACCAGTCAAGGGAAACATCGTTTTCGCATCAACCCTCTCAGCCCTGTGGGAATTTGCGAGTTCAGTAAAATCATCTCACATTTTTAAAAACGCCAGGGAAAAGAGACCCAGTTTCCTCAATCTATCTTCATTAGACAACTCTGCCATCCCAGGGATTAGTCTGGTAAACAACCATTGCACTGCCTCCACGGCAACTGCATCCTTTCTTGGATAATGGACCCAAAACTGTGTACAATGCTCTGGGTGTGGTCTCACCAAGGCCCAATACAATTGCGGCAAGGCATTTTTGTGTACTCAAATCCCCTTGAAATTAATGCCAACATACTGTTTATGTTCTTACGTAATTGCTACACACACCCGCTAGGTTTGAGTGACTCACGGACAAGGACACTCACACTTCCAAGCTGGACTTTGTTTCTTTTCTAACTTCGTACTCCTTTATACTATGTTCTTTCAGCCCAATTCTAGCCCATTCACAAAGCACCCTCCCACAAATTATGCTCCCAGCCAGTCTGATGTCATCAGAAAATTTGCAAATATTTCCACTGGTCCCCACATCTACATTTATATGGATTGCGAGCAGTTGTGGAACTAGCATTGACCCTTGTATTACCCCAATAGTAACAGCCTGCCGTCCTGAGAATCATCCATTTATTCCAACTCCCTGCTTCTGCTGAGTGACTGATTCTCCATCCACACTTGTATATTTCCCCCAAGTCTAATTTATTATCCCCAGTGTAGGAACTTCTCAAAAGTCTTCTGAAAATCCAGAGGTTACATTCACTGGATCCCCTCTGTCCATGCTACAAGTATCTGTGTATGGTGACTCTTTGGTGGGACTAACCACACAATCACACTCCCCTATTACTGTCCCAGAGGGCTGTCAAATGTTTTCCTTTCAATATTAAGCCGATTCCATTTTCATCTTTACAGCAGAACCTGATTCTTCTGTCCTTTCAGGCAGAACACCCGGAGGAAATGATGTTGCCATAAATTTTATCCTTAATTACTATCTGTAAAAATTTCCTCAGACGTGCCATAAGGCCAACTGGAATGCAATGAGTCAGTAATAGTCTTACTTTTAATTTGCTCCCTTATATCCTCCATCCACTTTCTCAATGTCATTCAGAATTTTAAATACCTTTTCCCCAACACTGACCTAATTAAATTAAAATCTCTTAGATCCTCAACAGTTAATGCTGAAATATTTGAAATGTCTTTCAATGCTGACAGGAACTCACACTGTATTCTATAATAGGCCTCATCCAGTACATTACAGTCTACCATCAACATCCTACTGCCGACCTCACCCCGTCACACTGAACTGATCCTTTCAACATCTTTCCAGAATGTTCCAGCTTTAACCCCATTGATGGGTGGTGGAACTGTTCGACTGGAATTGTAGGACAGAGGGTGAGAAAGATAAAGTTTGAGGACTGAAAACAGGGGAAGAGAAGGAAGAAGAAAGAAAAAGGAAAGAACTGACAAAAAAGGAAGAAAAGATGGTGAACGACAAAGAAAGATGTGAAAGGAAGTAGAACGCACCCAGTGAGTAAATTCAGACAAGAGGCTGAACAAAAACAACTGCAGAAACACATCTATGATCACCCAAGTACAAGAAATATTTGTCCAGCGTTTTATATCTTCCTGGTGAAGAATGGGAATTGGAATCACACACTCCAGTAAAATTGACCCCTAACTCACTCAGTGTTTGTGATCAGGAATGTTCCCATCACACAGTCTGTGTTACAATCAAACACTGTAGCCAAGAAATTGTTCACAGGGAGTGAAGGAAAACTGGGGTAATCGCCTGCCTGTTCCACACTGCGCCTGACATTCAATTCCAGGTCAGTCCCTGCAATTCAGGCTCAGACACTGGGCAGGAGGAGTGGCAGGTCGGAGAACTGCCTGTTTTGTCTCACTCCCTGGGAGGAATTTCTAAACCAGTGAATCCAGGGAGATAGGAGGAGGAGCAGTGAAGGTTTACTGTGTGCTTTTTGTAAAATTCATCCTTTCAGCTGAATGTCCTCAGGAGACATGTTGAAATCATCATTGTCCTTCCTGTTTATTTAGCTAATGACATTATTAAAGCAAATCTATTTCAAACAAATGTAGAAAACTCATCTTAAAAAGCTCACGAGAGATCACAGTTCTCAGGAATAATGAGAGAATCAGTTTCCTTCACAGATCTCTCTCTATCCCACCAGGGAAGGTTGTGAAATGTCAACTCAAGCTCCTTGAGCTCGAATGGATCATAACCCTGCTCTGAGAAAGATCGTGCCCTTCCTTTCCCACATGCCTAACTTCCATTTGAAGGATTGTCCCCGCTAAAAAAGAGCAGTGGTCAGAACTGGCTGAATAGTAAACCTTGTTCCACTAACCCTATAATAAGAAATCATATTCCTGCCTTTTGGACTTGCACTCATGGTGAGGTTTAATCATCGACCAGTTCATATATTAGTGTGAAGTTCCCTTGTTGAATGTTTTAATCCAATAATTGTAAATATTGAAACAGTGAACCAAAACATGTGATATCAATGAATTCAAAAATAATTGATCCCATGCTGCTATTGCTCAAGAACAATTTCAACCAGACAGAAACTCTTCCAATTCTCAACCTTTCAATATGGGTCCAGTTACAGATGAGATTTCAGAGTAAGAGATGATTTGAAATCTCAGATAGTTGAACTATTAATGTCAAAACACACACTAAATCCTGTCTCTAGGAGACACAACTTCATTCCACACACAGCTTGTTTGCTGTCTGTTCAGAGAATTCACTGGAATCTGCTGCAAATTTGTTAGGATGAGGTATTTTAAATGGAAACTAATCCCTGTGTCTCACTCCATCCAAATCATTTCTCTCTGTTCACAAATTTATCAAGTAGAATCCTGAATGTATTCTTTAAACTGTTCGACAAGGTATGAACTACATAAGCAAAAATGTAAGCATTTGTGACACCAACTATTAAATCACAAAAACAATGAGATAATATCTTTTAACTCCGATTATAACAAAATCTTTACCCTCCTCCAAATATCCTAAAGTCCAAAATCATCAAACCTGCCCCAACACAGCAAGTATCCAGATTACATTATTCAGGCTCAAGCTGAACATATGAAACTGATCCTGGAATCCCACATTTTCTGGGGTTTAATGTTATTCAATTGAGAATAAATCTAGTCTCAGATTTCAGGTCCGGTTACTGGGTATATTCTTGACTCCACAGAAATTCACCTCTCTGGGACAGAATCATGTAATTGTCTGAAATATCTCACTGATTTTACCAAATTATCACATTTACTAGTAACACAAATTAAATACAATAATATAGCAGAAAATAGTATAATTGACAGGTTTCTCTTACTTGAAGTCACTTCCAGAAAGGTTCTGCTCCCCCAGTAGTCAAGATAATCACTATGCTCTGTCTCTTCATTCACCCAATACAATAACTGACCCTGAGCACCGTATACAATAATCCCCAGGGAATGTAATATAAATTGTGTTGTAACCTGGAGCAGCAACTTCCTGTATTTTCATCTGAAATTCTATCCTAATCCTATCCCAAATGTATCCATAAATGAAGTGTTTTCACATTATTCCTGTTTATGGACAACAGATCCTGCAAGTTACCCAGAAACAGAAATGCCTCCTTTTTGTCTTGTATTCTCCCAGGAAGCGACATTTTCCCTGACAATCCGAGTCAGCGTTTAGATATTTCACTCTTGGAAACAGGAATGTGAAATCCATGGATCCACATGGTCATTAGGAACAGGGCTGTTTGTGTCAAGCTTTGTGCTGCTGTGGATATACCAGCTATATACCCATCTGTCGCACAATAGATGGCAGTGTCGTCCACTCTCAGATTTGTTATTTGCAGATCCAGGGTATCGCTGCTTTTGGAAGCAGTGAATCGGTCTTCAACTCCTGGCGCGTAATGCTTGCTACTTTCTGTAGCATAGTACAGTAACCATTCCAGTCCTTTCCCAGGGACCTGTCTCACCCAGTGCATGTAGTAGTCATCCAGGCTGAACCCACTCACTGTACAGGTCAGTCTGAGAGACTCCCCCGGCTTTTTCACAACTGACTCGGGCTGGTTCAGCACAATCCGAGACCGGACACCTGTGAATAAAAGAGAAACAGAAGAGAGCTCACTTTAATAAACCAGTCAGATAAAGAGTCACAGAATCTGGGAAGAAACAGCCTCGCTGTGTGGGGAGAAAGCCTCGGGAGCTCTCACCTGTCAGACAGAGCAGAAGGACACAGAGATAAGGAGCAATCCCCATCGCTGTGCAAAAGCAGAGACAGAGTCCAGCTGCTTCAGGGCACCTTTATCTGGAGCTGGAGTCAGTGCTGTTTAAATAGGGGAGTGAAGTGAGTGAGGGTCCCACAACTTCAACAGCAGCTCCACCCACTGAAACCAGAAACAGAGCTTCCTGTCCCTGCCTCAAGCAGAAATTTCAATTCTCTCCAAGACAGTAATTTATGCAACAGGCAACAGATCAGCAGCAATAATCAGATTAAGATCCAGTCACACTTTGTCCTGTTTCTTTATTTCAAAAATAAAGAGCTTGTGAACAAAGAAACTGAGAGACACCAGACACCAGTCAGTATACAGATACCTCCCAGAGAGAGGGCACTGAGAGACACCAGTCAGTATTCGGATATCTCCGCGAGAGAGAGACAGACAGAACCGTCAGCATAAAGATACCTCCCTCAAGAAACTTGGCACCATCTACGACAAAGCAGCAGGGTTGTTTGGTACCTATCCATCATCAATATTCAACACCGCCACAGTGGTAGCAGTGTGTACCATCCACAAGATGCACTGCAGCAACTCACCAAGGCTAATTCAACAGCCCCTTCCAAACCCATGACCTCTACCGGACAGAAGGACTGGGGTGGCTTATGTGTGGAATCACCACCACATGCAGGTTCCCCTGCAACACACACACACACACACACACACCATCCTGACTTGGAATGACATTACTGTTCCTTCATCAATACAGAGTCGAAATACTGGAATTCTTTCCCTGACAGCTGCAGCTACACCCAAAGGACTACAGCAGTTTAAAAAAGGTAGATCACCTCACTTTCTCAGGGGCATTTACAGATAAACAATAGCCCAGCCACTAATGCCCACATTCCATGACCAAGCAGTAAAATATAGAATAATCATCACAAATTGTCATTCCTATGTCAAAGCAAGAAGAGTTACATTTCTGGGCATTAGGCTTATTATGATAGCACACAGAATAGTAAACCTGAAGATTGGGTGGATATTGGAACCCAGTGGAAGGTCACCCAATCATTGATAAAGAAAAAGAAAACTGACAAAAGATAGTAAATTAGGAACCGACTCACAATGAGATTGTGGAAGCTTGCAAAGGATGTAAGAAGGAAGAAATCAATGAGTGTAAACATGGGTCTCAGAGACAAAAACAGAGGAAATCCCAACAGGGAATGAGGAATGGACAGAGATATCAAAGAAGACCCAGAAACCATTTCAGGAGGAAATGATCTAGGATCTGGGTGAAATAAGGAACTGTGGGATAATATTAAGCAGAAATGAAGTTGTATTGGAGAGAATACCATGACAGGGTCAGAATCTATTAGGGATGCAGTGACAGTGAACTGTCACTGAATTGAAGTGAGAAAGGTAATCTATAGCAGGTTTGGAATATGATGAAGGATACATGATAATGATAAGATAAGCAATGATAAAATAACAATGACCAAATAAGCAAGATGAGCATCAATAGTCTGTTCACAGTATCAGGAGCACATGCACCATAATAAGCCACAAACTGTATCAGTGAATGTCCTGCTGCAGTAACACCAACAGATGTCTGAATAATTTACTGACATCAGTGACACAGTCTGAAGTATTTGTACTGTACCTGCATCAGGAGCAGTACTGATTGACTCTGTATGTTACTCTCACTAGTAACACTGTCAAAAGTATTATTACTGTACATGCATCAGTAACAGCACTAAGTTTCCTTGTATGTCCCTCACCAGCTGTATTCGTACTGAACCTGCATCAGTAACTGGACTGAATGTCTGTGTTACCCTCACCACTAACGCTGTCTGAACTATTAGGACTGACCCTGTAGCAGTAAACAGCACGAGAAAATCAATCTGTCTGTCTATATCCTTGTCTTGTGCTTTCTATGTATATATTAATGTATATGTACATACATTATATCACAATACATATCGATAAATAAATACACAAAATGTGTCACTACTTAGAGTTAATTATGAGGTTGAACGGCCAGTAGTTGTTTCTGATTATACAGATTTAGGAAGTGGATGAGATCGGGGTGATCATCCACATTTTACCAATCACCCCCTCCCACCATACCATCCAACCCCATCCCCAGCCCCAACACCCACCCAGCACAGGTCAGTGGGTTGCTCACAGAACCAGTCCACTGCTACACTCGAGATAAGCAGCGGAAATGGCTTTTCAGACCAAGTCCTTATCAGCAGTGTTACACAGCCAAAAGTAGCCTCACTCATCAGCAGGATTGATGGAAACCGCACTCAGTGTTTCACTATGTCAGCTCCACATGCAGCAAATTGTTCGAGCTGAAAACGTTGCCCAGCCTTGAATGCCCCCCTCCTGAGTTTTAATCCTTCACTGTTTCCCCTTCAAACCTCACTCAGTAAGACTGTGTTGTGAAGTCTCACCAAAACCACACTGACCTTGACTGACTGGTCACTGATGGGATTGAAGGCATGTGGTGAAGTTGTTCAGTGACCACTATTTCGCAAGGGTTCATACATATTGGACAGTCTCCCTGACAGGGGGACACAGTGGTGGAGGTGTTCTGTTACTGCACCCTCAATCCAGAACCAGGATTCACAAATCCCAACAGTTTGAAAGTTGGAAATCCATTTAATAATGTGGACATTTAAAAATAAAGTAGCAGCAACCAAGTCATGAATGTTTTTCTGGGAAGAAATCCTGTTGTCCTTTCCTGGTCTGCCTAATGATTAGGAGCAGGTTCTGATTCAGAGAATCAATACCACAGGGGACAGAATGGATCCTGGCAGGGAGGAGGGACCAGGCACAGTCTTGATAATGGAGATGTGAGAATTGATGAATGTTCAGGAGATTTCCTCAGTTGTGTTTCATATCCAGAGACTATTCCCCCATAGATTTTCCTCAGGAGATTAAATGGAGTAAATAAACTTTTAGGACAATGGGGCATGACCATAAAATGAGGAAGGAAATTAAATAGGTGGTAATCCTAGGATGGTGTGGATTGTAAATGGGCTGTGAATGAATTTTCCTCGATCACAAAATTTAGTTTACTTTGTTGTTCACCAGTTAATCACCATTTTTAATCTGAGACAAACTCTGGTTTATTGACAAACTCACTTAGTATCTTTGTTTAAAATCTTGACTGAGTTCTTCAAGTTTCGGGTGAAGATTCTTTGCTTTAGAGACAGTTTTGTGCTGTTTCTGTCCAAGGGACAGATTGTTCTCCACTTGTACAAGAAGACTCGTTTTTGAGCCTCTTTTCCCTTCATACTTTCAGTTCTGTTGGTGTGACCTCTTTTGGTTAAAGAATTAATAATTGGTGTTGGTCACTAAATCAGAAGCATATTTCCATATGTAAAACACTGTGCTTATTCTTTTTAGTAACACTGTTCCCTCTGGGAGGCCCCCTGTTCAGTTTCTGTGATGCTGCCAACTCTTACAGGAAATGTAAGGAGAAGAAAATAGACCTGAGGTTGTCACCGAGTTTCACACGTCTGACAGCCATGAATGAAAATATCAAACCTGTTTCTCATAACTTTTGACAGCTGCATACTGTGAGATGCTGTTCATATACAGAGGAAAATCAGAATTGGAGTACATCATTCAGCCCCTCGCTGCTGTTCCATTACTCACAAGTAGATCATGGCTGAGGTGTACCTACCGGTCTCGGTTCTGGATCCTTCAATGCTTCTTTCAGAAAATTGCTGTCAATCTCAGTGCTGAATTTTCCTCTTGATTCTCCAGTCTCATCAGCTTCTTAGGGGAGAGAGTTTGAGATTTTCACCACCGTTTGCATGAGAAAATACTTCTTGACAGTGCCCCTGAATGGCCTGGCTTGAATTTTAATGATCTGCTCCCCCACCTCCACCAGATAAATCTTTTCTGTGTTAATCCTGTTGAATCTTTAATCAGCTTGAACCTCTCAATTACATCACTCTTCAATCTTCTAAATTCCACATTTGAGACAATACAAGTCAAATCAATGTAAATGTTGACTTGTTGTAACCCTTTTAGCTGGTATCATACTGGTAAATCTTCACAGCACCTTCAACACGGTCAATACATCCTTCCTGAACTTCAGTCCCGGTACGGAGTGACGTTCTCCACAAGTGATGGAACCAGAAATCTATTCGACTCCAGCATCATTTCCCCCTATTTCTATTCCAATATCCATCACCAACTGCCGCACATGGAGAGATTCTACTAAAATGTGTTTGACAGCTTAATTAAAACTGAAACCTTGCAGTTATCTCTCACAGATGAAGCAAATTTTCTGCTTTTACTCTCACATCCTACAGGACTGGTCATTCTACCTGTGGAATATTTACTTCAGTGATCTTTATGATTGATGGAAATGACAAACTCTGACTGTGATCAGGGTACACTGCCTCTCCTCAATGTGTCTGCAGCCTTTCACACAATGGATCATCACCATCCTCCTCCAGTGTGCAGCAGAATGGCACTGTCCTTGCTGCTTCCACATTTATCTGCCCAGTCACAACAAGAGAATTTTGAAATATTCTTTCAAGGGATGTGGGTGTCACAGGCAAGGGCAGCATTTGTTCCCATCCCTCATTCCTGGGAATTGAGCACCTCACTGGACCAGTTTAGAGGGCAATTATGTGTCAATTATATTGCCATGGGTGTGGAGTCACCAGGCAGAAACCTTCATAACATTCAAGAAGAATTTAATTGTGCATTCGTGTTGCCAAGTTATACAAGGCTATGGGCCGAGTGCTGGAAAACTGGATTAGCATAGTTAGGTGGAAAGACCTGACTGGATAAGATGGGCCGAAGGGCCTTTTCCTGTGCTGTAGGTCTCTCTGACTCTATGACATCATGGACCCAATCAGGTAAAGATTACAGATTTCTTTCCGTTACATGTCTACAACAACCACTGACATTTTCATGGTCATCATTCCTGAGACGAGCTTCAATAACAGGTTTCTTAATTGTATTCAGATTCCATCAGTTGCAACGGTGGGAATATGTGACATGTCTGCTGATCATCCTTTGGCACAGTATTCTCTGTCCTGGGCACA